GAATTTGGTGCATTGTTGTAGTTTTTGTATTGAATGTGTCTTTTGGGGACTGTACGCGGTAGGAGAGCCTCGTTGCTGCTTGAAGTGTGAATATGCTTTTAGTGACTGTTTTTTCACAAGGTTATAAACTAAGAAAAACAAGATTGTATTTTTATTTTGATTTTTACATTATCTAATTAAAGTGGTTCTAGCTGGCCCTGAATCTATTTGTGTATATACCTTGCAATTTTTAATATCCTTTCTTTCTGTTACCTAACAGCTAGCACAAAATAGCTGGTTGAGTTCTTCAGATGAATGTTTTGTTTTCTGGCTTCGAAGGGAATCACTGACTTTTCTAATGAAACTGTTTTTACTGAAAAAGCCAAGCAAAACTACTCATTCTTCTCCTTTTGCTTTCCTCTATAGGCTCCTTCATGATGGTGAACAGCTCCGGGCGGGCATCTGGGCAGAAAGCTCACTTGCTCTTGCCTACGCTGAAAGAAAACGACACGCATTGCATCGACTTCCACTATTACTTATCCAGCAGAGACCGTTCGAGTCCTGGCTCTCTGAATGTCTACGTGAAGGTGAATGGAGGACCACAGGGCAATCCCATATGGAACGTCTCGGGGGTTGTTACAGAAGGATGGGTGAAAGCAGAACTTGCCATCAGTACATTTTGGCCACATTTTTATCAGGTATGAGTTTGTAAAGTTTTTCTCTTTTTTTCCTTTGAACGTTTGGCTAGGTATGAGCTAAGCTATTGTTAGTAATAGGTATTCTGAAGATTAAATCCCCCTCTGAATTTTTCCTTTCAGAATGAGTTTACATATAGCAGTTTTATAGCAAGAGGGTTATATAGGCATCTTGACATATTTCTTCCTGCTTCACCCTTTTTCTTCAGTAGTTGTCAGGTCACAGAGTGATGAATAGACTGCTGGGAGTCAAATTATTGGGAAGTTAAGACCCACTTGTTTATCATTAAATTGGCACATAAACAGCGTTGTATTGGCACTTTCCATGGCACCATGTAAATGTAAATACAACCAGGTGTCTAGATGTGTAACTGTATCTCTGCATAAATTTGCCTGAACTATTTTTGGCCCTTGGTTGGTTCCATAAGAAGGAACATTTGTTCACTCAGCTTCGCATCTGGACTTTTCCTGTGCCCATATAAGGGGTGTAAGTACATAAGCTACTAATAAAATCTCATACCATGTTATCAACATGAGTATATTCTTCACCAGATCCTCCGTTCCTCTTCTTTTTAGCACTGCTTGTAACATAGTTTTATTTGTTCTGTTAGGAGATTTATTTTTTTTTAAATAAGCACAAAGTTGAGGAATGTAATGGGTAAATTTTTTTTCAGTTATATTAATTTTACAGCTACTTGTTAGCTGTCCACCTAAAACTTCACGTGGCAACTTTGCAGTCATTGTTTTAGTTTTAATTAGATAAGATTGCACACAATGGACTCACATACTTCTTGTTGGGTGTTGAAGGCATGTTTTTGTCTCGCTTTATATTCAAGACAAAAAAAAAAAGCCTGGGAGGTAATTGCACCCTAAACCTTGCAGGAAAAATACATATGATACTAATAAAAGACATGAGTGAGGTAAGAATTACCATAGAATAAACTATGAAAAGGCAGCAAATAGTCTGTGGGTAGAAAACAGCAGGTAGAAAAGCTTGCTTTTTTTTTTTCTTTTTTTGCTTCTAATAACTGGGTAGGAGGTCTATAAAATCTGAGCTGAAGTAGAATGCTTGAACGTTCTGCCTCTGAAAAAGAGTTGGGGATATCAGCAGAATACGTAGAGTACACTATGCAGGGTGAGAGGAAGGGATAAAGAGATGCAGATACGTGGAAAGTGGTGTTTTAAGGGCTGTGCACAACTTGTCACTTGTTCTGAAGTCATATTAAAGAGCTTATACTCCATTCATATTAACATGAACCTGGTCATGAACCAGAATTTACTTCATAGTAGGTGCTCCACAGGGATAAGAGACATGACCTTTCACCCAGATAATCAGTGCTTGCAAAACCTGGAAAAGACAGTCTGATCTCACACTAAGAGAGATCCTACTCTTAGATGTGCCAATAGTAGACTTCCTGAGCCTTACTTACTTCTTTTACAAGTCCTTTTTGCAGGTCAAGTTTGCTTTTCCTGAGCAAAAAATCCTTTAAATCAAACAAGAATTTTTCACTGCAGCACAAAAATGAACAGATTGGAAGCCAGCAGTAACAGCCTAGGAATAATTCCTTCCAAGAAAATGCAAGGATTTTCTTTTTTACTTTTTGATGAACGGGATGATGTTTCCTTCTGCTTATATTTGTATTCTTATTCCTTAAGAGTGGCTTTTAAAATTTGAGATCTGTCCCACTATTATGGTGGATCTAATAGACTGATCTATCATCAGTCCCTGTTTTTATAAACCAACTTCTGTTCATGGTCTGCAATCCTCTACATTTAATCAAGGTTTTTTAAAAAAAAAAAAGAGAGAAAAGAAAACTTGACGCTTGCAAAAGTGAAGAGGAAAACACAATGAAGGACTTAGACAAAATTATTGTTATTTGGCAGCCTAAAGTAACACTTCTGGCTAAAGGAGTCCAGAGGTGGCAGGATGACAAAAGCTTGGCTGTACTGTTGCCTAGGGAGTGTCTCATTTCACACTCACAATCTAGGATGTGCCATCGGAGTGTTATTTGTCAGCTTTAAATCAAAATTGCATGCCTACAGAACTCTTTGTACGCAAGAGGCCTGAAAGCATGTTCTGTATTTCAAAAGCACCAGGTAACACAGGAAAAAATAGGATTTTTCCTAAATAAATGAAATCTGTGTCAGGCAAAATGTGGATTATTCTGTTAATGCACAGAAACCACACCATCTTGAATTGCAGTGTGCATTGAAAATTCAGTCAGGCAAAAAAATCTGAAACTATCTGCCCTGGGTCTGAGGCTTCGACAAGTACTTTGAGCTTTGGAGATGTGACTAGTGGAAAACTAGTAACCAAGCCAATTGCCAGAGGTTGTGTTTTAGGCCTGGCAGTTCTGTGCAAGGGTCATATGAGTCATCTGGATCCAAAAGCACTCTGCTGAGATATAAACGTGGGGATGGTGGAGATTTATAATGTCTACCCTAGAGTTACTCGTACTTGGATTCCCAGCCTGCAAATGCTTTTAGTGTAGTGAGAAAAAGCCATAATAGTTCTTGGAGAAAGGTAATACAGGTAATCTTGAATTACTGCTTGCCATAAGGATTAACTTAGTCCCAGAATGCACCAAGGGCAGCACTAGAGTCTGCCAGGAAGAGTTTTTTTGATGTATAGCAAGGAACATTATTGATCCATGCCTGAAGAAACCTGTTGTACCACAACAGATGAGCCAGGCTACGTTGCTAACACAGACATTGTTGGTATATAGCAGCAGTGAAACATAGGATTGTTTATTGGTAAGGAAACATGAAATGACTTAGTATTTGCAGTTCTCAGGAGCATTTAAGAATGTTTTTTAAGAGTAAAGCTTTGCATTTTGTCATCTATATTAATTTATGAGAAGTTCCTTAAACATAAAGCATTGTTAAATGCCTATGTCTCCACCATTGTACTGGTTGTACATTGGAAATGTACTACATTTCCAACTGATGTTAAAAGGACATGAGAGATATTCAGTGTGAAATTTGCAGAACTGGGCCCCATAAACATGGATTCCTGCATTTTCCTCATGTTGGGTCTCAGTTCCCTGTTTTCAGGAAAACCTGGCTGCTTCTGTGCTTCGTGCTTTGATAGGGCTGAGATGCTGCAAAATCCAGAAAGAGACAACAATGTGGAAGTTTGAACTGAGAAATAACAAGAATATCTGAGTGTAAAGCAGAACAGATAGTAAAGGATTCCTGTATTTTCCTCATGTTGGGTCTCAGTTCCCTATTTTCAGGAAAACCTGGCTGCTTCGTGCTTTGATAGGGCTGAGATGCTGCAAAATCCAGAGAGAGACAACAATGTGGAAGTTTGAACTGAGAAATAACAAGAATATCTGAGTGTAAAGCAGAACAGATAGTAAAATACTTTGTCAAAACCCTATTGTGTGAATTGAGAGGAACCCTCCACTCTTTTCAGTAGATTCTGCACCAGTGTGCATGGGTTTTTTAGGAGCTGACTTGGTTGTTACCAGCTTAAGTTACGTTGTGCTGTATTAATGACCCTGTACATGTCGATAATTAACAGAAGACAATTCTCTGTGTATCAGTGCTTACTTTTGCCACACGCTAATAGCTAATGCCAATGCCTTGGAGAACTTTTCTTTCCAAGTTCTTGGCTTACAGGAAATTGAGAATTAGTTTATTGTGGCATATAGCTTCTCACAAATGCAAAACTAAAATAAGATTATGTAGCTGTAATGTTGCACTTTAATTCAAGCCTGGAGGGAGTCACAGTAGTTGCTTATGTGACCTTCCCAGAAAGTGTAATTTTTATCATGAGTGACATTTCATTTCTAAAATAAATTATAATCTCCATACTAAGGACTTGCATTATACTCTTATTCTATACAGTCCCTAAAAAGCCTATCAAGAACCTTGATAACGCAAAACACTTGTTGATGTTTTTTGGATTATTTTATCTTCCAGAGACTTGCTTCCTCCTATTGCTCCTTGGACAGCTTATTTTCTGTCCACCCTCCTCTGGAGTAGAGCTTTGTTTCTACATCTTGTTAACACTTGAGCTTTTCTTAGTTTATATCTTTGCCTGTTAATTTTTGTGTTCTACCTGTTTCTCTCCTATCTTTTTGCTAATGGACATATTTCAGAAGATCTCACACTTGGATATGTTTTGAATTGGGGAAGCAGATCTTAGGAAGTCATGGAAACATGAGTAGAAACTACGTTCTGGAAGCCCAAATGCAAAGCAAAATGATTAACAGCAGTTCTGTACTTGTGAAGGACATACCGGTCTACTTTCATAGCCAGGGCATGCAGTGATCAGCATTTGGACAGTTGAATCTTTTACTGTATTAAATCTTCTGATGAAGGAGATTAAAAAGAGTCTAAACGGTGACAGACTTGGAATACCAGCTTTTAATCAGAATGAAAATAAGTGTTGAGAACTGGCTTTAAGTAGTTAACTTTGTGTTCTAGTAATGAATTCTAGAGGTTACAAATTACTGAAATACTTTCTCCTCCGAAACAAGGAGCTGCATTGGAATACTGCTCTAACAGTAGTAACTGTGCCAACTGAACATGTTAATTAACTTTGTCCTTGAAAACATTATTGTATACTCATGCAAAAATGAGCAATTTAGTACACTGTGAACATTACTTTAGTAAGAGGGAATGAAACTGGGGACATCCCTTTCAAATGCAGAGGACAGCATCCATTACATCTCAACGCATTCGTACTTTTTTTTTAAACAGTAAAGGGTAGCACTTAATTCCTTTGGGAAGAGAATCACTAACTTGAGAGGCAGCATTATCAAGATGTTAAATAATCAGTCTGCGTTTTTCTTTTTTCTATTGCAGTTTAACATTTCTAAATTGTTTTAAATCTTGTTCCTCATAGAATATCTCAAGTTGGAAAGGACCCATAAGGATCATCGAGTCCATCTCCCTGCTCCTCACAGGACTAAGTAAAACTAAACCATATGACTAAAAGCATTGTCCAGACACTCCATGAACTCTGGTGCCATGACCACATCCCTGGGGAGCCTGTTCCAGGGACCGACCACCCTCTCAGTGAAGAACCTTTTCCTAATGTCCGATCTGAACTGCCCTTGATGCAGCTTCATTCCATTTCCTCGTGTGCTATTGCTGGTCACCAGAGAGAGGAGATCAGCACCTCTCCCTCCGCTGCCCCCCTTGAGGGGTAGACTGCGACGAGGGCACAGTCCACAACTCATGTCCTACTCTCCTTTAATTGTTGGGCAAACTGCACCATATTTAATACTATTTTCTCCTGAATTTTTAGTTAGCTTATTTGGCAGTAGTTAACACAGTTTTAATGATCTCTTTATCAGGATTTTTAGTTGGGGGTTTTTCTTCTGCACTGCTGATTTTCAGATAGCCTGTACATTTTTAGTAACAGGATACTTCAGATCAGGGCAGTTTTCCAGGTAAAATCACAAAGCCATAGGGAAGAATGAGATTTTTGTTCATCTGTAACTGAGTATCTGTCTATTCGGACCCAAATTAGTGGAACACTTTCATTATCCAGGTACATAAATAAAATAGAAAGTACTAGTTAGCGTACCATTAATGTAGAGAAATACTACACGTGGTTTTTAAGAATATTCATTCTCAGACCATGTTAGTTCAATCCAGGGAAAGGCAGGAACAACTTTATTATACCTGAGAGAATTTTATTACAGTCCAGTAACTAGAATCCAGGGTCATCTGTTGCTCGGAATTTGCTTTCTAATACTTCAATGACATGCATGCCAAATCAAGGTTTTCTCCAGAAGAATCCATGCAGGGTTATTGATTCAATAAGAGAATTTTATCTTACATACAGCATTCTCCAACTTTCCGAGGCATACTAAGAACAAGATGTCAAATGTTGTCACTTAACGTTCTTGGACTGGTGCTTAAAGTGAATATAGATGTGTATATGTACAGGGTATTTTTTGCTCTTCCAAATGAAAGAAGCGCCTAGTTGTCTGTAATCCTAATGAACATTGCTCTAATTTTTTGTTTTCCGTATCAAACAGATTTTCAGTCTTTGGTATGCATGTACATACTGAATTGCCTTGGTATCCCTTCATTATTAATGATGAAATGCCTTGAACGCCTCGGACATTGGAGTGAGAGCAGAATATAGTAACTGGCCAAATGACTAGTGTAGCGCTATTCTTTTTAAGAAAACTTTTTCTCATTTTGTATTTCAGGTGATATTTGAATCTGTCTCTTTGAAAGGACATCCAGGGTACATAGCTGTGGATGAAGTCAGAGTTCTCGCCCATCCATGCAGTGAGCACTCTTTGTTTTTCTAACTGTATCAACGTGTTGTATACCAGGCTTTGCAGTCTAAAGGAGTGATTTACCCAATTTGGTCAGCGCTAAAATGTTTTCTTGTATCCCTCTGAGACACCTAAAGACAATCATCCTTGCATAATTACATAACTTTGCAAGTTGTGCAAAAGGCAAAACTGCTCTCAGTCCATAGCTAGTGCCAGGACATCTGTGGAAGTCTCTCTTCCTCTCTTGTTATGAGAATATAAACTGGATTGTTGTATTATTTCTGAATCATACTGCGGTAGAAAACAATCTAAAAAGCTTCTGATAATATCCTGTGTGGTTAACTTAAGAAAAGAATAAACAAACAAATTGTTTCAGTATTTCTTTTGTAAAGGGCATATCCCAAAGGTCTCTCAAAAAATGTTAAACCCGCTCAGCATCCCCATAAAGATATTAAAAATAAATCTCATTCAGACAATACACTTGCACAGGAGTAGAAACTAATGCAGGTTCATTACACTGTTCAAAAATATTACTGCCATGTTTCTTCTATTGCAGCCATAATAATAAGCTTAGATTTCCCCCCCCCTCTTTAAAGAAACCTTGAGCCTCAATCTTTGAGTCTGAACTTGTTTGGTTTCTCTATGCATCTACAGCGTGGCTTGAGGACTTTGTGTGTCTATATTGTGTATGTAGTACACAGTTTCTTTTAAAGATTTTTTTTTTTTAACAGCCTTTAACAGCCCCTCTCACTAGTTCATAGTTTTAGTAAGCCAGTGACAGCTGCTCACAGGAAAATCATGGATCGTATCGATGGAGTGAAATCAACTGGTTTTCTTGCAATACAGAATTTCAAAGAATAGCTGCCATTCAATGTGACAGATGTGGTTCTGCTCAAGTTTAACAGGACATATCTGATAACTGCAGTATGGTTAATTGCTGTTTAACTAAATTATATTTGTGTTTACCATGTGCTCATCGCTCAGGCCTGTGGGTGCATTTACTTCATTAAGAAATACTTACAATCTGTATTAACCAGATGTTGCTGATAACTGGCAGCATCCAAACAAATGCCCCAAATGGTCTGCGTGCGTTCCGTAGCATGTTGGGTGATGACTGATCCCTTTACTGGCAAAGAGGCCACTGAACAAACTATGTGGCAAAGCCTAGACAAGAAAGTTATGGGATTTAAAAAAAAGAGACAGGATGCTGTGTTACACCCCTGCTTAGTCAAGTATTTAAACTGATTTTAAATCAATTTCTCCAAGTATATGCAGGTCCCTCTTCAAAATTAAGTGCGTTCTTGGTGATTCAAAACTGAAATGATTCAGTTTACTCCATTTTGAATCAGTTTGCAACCTGCAGCATACAGAACTCGTTATAAGCTGCAAGTTCTCTGGAATCTTTGTAAATGCTTCTTCTGTCTGATTCCCAGCGTTGCTTTTGTTGTTCAGCAATGACAGCCACCGGTGTAAATGTCACCAGAGTGTGTTCCATTGACTGGTACAGGCTTTGCCCCTCATATTTGTTTTACAATTGTTATAACTCAAAACACAGGGACCATGAAGCTCCTGATGACCCTGGAGGTTACTTGAAATTACTGGTGTTTTTTCTTCCTTTCTGCTTTACCTTCATCGATGACAGTATAGCAGACAAACCTAAGTATCAGCAAAAAAGCAGTGCAATGCCCCTAATGACACAGTAATGGAGAAAAATAAATATCTTCCTGGTGTTGCCTTTTTTTTTTTTGTCCTGTGAAGGAATGGACTGGAGGATCAATTTTCATTATGCTAAAAGCTCATTGACTGTGTGTGCATGAGCACTTGCAACCACAGGACAGCCCCATGCTCTGGAAGCTGGGCAGACCGGAGGAATAGGAGTCTGGTGTTGGTGTGACTGCACTCACCCAGGCACTGCAGCTTCATATTTGGAGCTGGCTTGTATCTGCCCACCTTAGGCTGCAGGCAGAAATTACTAGTATTAGCCTGCAGACATCATGTAGTACATTGACTGTCACCCGGAGGTAGTTTTCCAGTAAACTTTGATGCAAATTACTGATCCCCAGAAAGCACGATGGTACAGTGCAGTCTCTTTCAGGAGCTGTCAGCAAACTGAGCATGTGGTGAATGAGATACAGAAGCTAGATAAAAACATTTGGCACAGTGTATAGGCATGTGTTCTCTGTTCGTGTGTCTGTAGTAGACAAATACTTGTACGTCAAGCTTCATGCACGCAGACACAGATGTCCACAACCTTTTGAAGCTATTTGATTCCAATAGAAAAATATGGGTTGGTATGTCCTCTGAAATTATGTATTTCATCGGTGTCAAATCATACTAGAGCATGTAAAGATGAAGTTGAGAAAACTGACTTTGAGAGTCTCATAAGGCTGTTCAGTGTGTCCTACTAAAAGTTTTCAAATGGTGCACAAACTTTCTTCTGAAGGCCAGCAAGAGCTAAGTTCATTTAAAAGTGTCAGATTCACTACTGTAATCTTTTTATTTTCTTGTTAGTTAACTTACAGAGGTAAATGAGTTTGGTATTTAGTCAAAAAGATAATCTTCTGATCTAGTTCCTTTGAGAACAAATGTGATGTCTGCATTTTAATATCAGTGGTTTAATATTGAATTAATACTGAATTTAATATCAGCAAACACTGATATCGGTGATCTTAAACTAATACAGTGATACAATACTGTCAGTTATATGAATATTTAATTTAATATCTGATTTGATATTAATGACACATTATTATTCTAAAGGTCTAGGATGTATTTGATAGTCAATAAAATAAAAAGGAAAAAAAGACTCTTGTGAAAATTTGGTTTGGGTCAGTTATGCTTGACAAACTCAGAAGCATTTGATTTTCTTTTTAACCTTTTTAGAAACACGGTTTTCTGAAGAAAGGAAATTACTCAATTACTCTTTATAGCAAGCAGTAAGAAATTGTGCTGATGACCATGAACTTGTGTTGTGATTTGATCTAAGTCTGTGTTTTTAGATGTGCCAGAGCTCTGTATGATCCCTTAGGCCATCCTCTGTCAGACTGATCATCCACATCACTCTGCAGTGAATAGCTAAATACTGAAGGACAGCTTTATTTTGCAAAATCACTTTGTCAAGGATAGGCCCTAATGCTTTGCTGAGTGTTTATATCTGTGTCGGTGTAACACAGCCAGTTACTGCCTTGCTCTACCCTTGCAATACTTTGCATCTTTTGTTAGGAAAAGCACCTCACTTCCTACGACTTCAGAACGTGGAAGTTAATGTGGGACAGAACGCAACATTCCAGTGCATTGCTGGGGGGAAGTGGTCGCAGCATGACAAACTCTGGCTCCAGGTAAAGTAATGCAGGGTTTTTTGTGGTGTTTTTTTGTTTTGTTTTGTTTATTTTATTTTTTCAAGTAAAATAAGTAGATAGAGAAATACTGGGTAGTGGGGCAAAATCTTTTCATCAAGATCCTTTGAGAACTGCCTTAAATTGCTTCTAGGTGAGAGTTTAAGGCGACAGCGTACAGAATCATGACACAGAAAATGAAAAAATGGCCAGTGAGAGCAAAATTTTGGTTTCAACCAAATGCCCGTGCACCTGTAAGCACTCAGTCATAAAACAGAAGAGACAGAACGAGTGGAGTAGTTGTTTACATCTGCTTAATTATGCAATCTTCTTTCCCCTCACCCTTCAAAAATGTCCTCAGCCCAGAGTCAGTGGCAATATGTTAAGAAGGAAACCTACTCTAAGGTCTGAGATTACTACCTGCATGGTGAAAACAGGCAAAAACCAGTTTGTACCCACTGTTTTTCTTCCTCCTGGTTTCCCTTGGCTGCATTGATAGCAGATTGTTCCTTTTAGTGAGTCACTAAAAGACCAAAACATTCCCTCTCTTAATGGCTATATTTCACCCTACTGGTTGGTCTTGAAAGACTGGGTCGTGCCATTCAGGTGGGTAGAGTAACAACCTTAAGAACTCATTTTCAGTTCTAGAATTAGAAATGGAACATATATCAAACTGAAGATGTGGAGCACATGTTTCCCAGTGAAGGGCAAAATTATTTCTTCTGCCCTTTGAAGTGCTCGGATATGTGGAGTCCCAACATTACCATGCTCTATACATAGAACTATTCTACAAGCTTTTAAAATAGTTGAGCTCTTTGCTGCTTCTAAACTTCTCAGCCATTAAACACCTAACGTTCCAAACAAGTCAAGAGGATTCTCTTGCTATATGTACTGTGCATGTACGTAGGGCCAACATAAACTTTCAGAACACGTAAGACAGTCAACAGTTTTTATTCTCAGCTTGGACTGATGTGACTGAGGGCCTGACCCACCCCATATTTGTAGCATCTGAGGCAGACAAGAATGGCCTTTGTCATGGTTGCTATGGCGTTTGTAGTCAAATAACTAGCAGATTTTCTCAAACTTTTTTATTTTAATAAAATTTTAAAATAACAATTTCAAATCTAGTTTAAATACTAGGGGAGGAATTGGTTTACCTAATCATAAAAATAAAAATCAGTACTGGGAAAAAGGCTTGAGTTTGGTGAGAAATGTAGTCGGCATCATGTAAAAATGACTTGACAGTCACTTGAATTGTACTCTCATCACAGCTGTTCTCCTAAAAATTACATTTTGATCTGAAATTTATTAACCTATGGTGTATTTTTAGCATCCACTGAGATATACTTTTGGCTTATTCTTTACCTTTTTTGAGTTCTTTCAGTGAAATCTTTGAACAGTTATGACTAGATGTGTGTAAAAACGCTTCTGACCTGAAGCAGGATGAACCTTTTCCTGTGAGAACCAGGGATTTCGGAGGAAATCGTTATCGTTGCTAGTGGAAACCTGTTCTGCATTCTCTAAAATTGAAACATTTAATGAAAATAGCCTTGGAAACACCCTCAAAAACCAATTACTGGAAATCGGCAAAACAGCAGCGCATTTTCCTTTGAAACTCCTAATAAACTAGGCCAGCTGACCAAGTTCAGGTGTTTATGCTGTGGAGAACTTCTATTTCTAGCTAATTCTTCATCTGTCCCTTTTCCAGTTGGGAAAATGCAGTCTGGCATTGGTAGAGAGGTTTACTGAGGAATGTTGGACATATAAGGATGTCTGCTCATCCAACCAATTTATTTAAATTGGTCCAGAATCAAAGTTTTACATCTGAAAATGCCAAATTTATAAAATCTGTTCATTTGTAGCATTTTCCCAGGTGTACCAAATCCATTCATTTGTAGTATTTTCATATCCTAGCCAGGCCTCTAAATATACTGTGTACAATTGCATAGTCTGAACCATCACTCTCCAGCCTTTTTCAATACATACAACACATCAAATGCCCAAATATGTTTTAAAAATCAAATAGGCAAGAAAACTTAAATATACGTGTAAGAATATTTAAGCCCTAGTTCATACAATCCTGTAAATTTTTCAGGGGTATGGCTAGCAGTCTTTTCTTGAAAAATTGTGCCAGTATGAAATGTAACCTAGTGATCTGAACGTGAAAGTCTGAACAACGTTAAGAAGCATAACAAAGAATGAATTACATATGGATGCATAATCTGTGTGTCTTCATAACTTAGATTATTTTTGTCTGCCTTTACAGCAGTGGAATGGAAGGGACACAGCATTAATGGTCACTCGAGTGGTCAACCATAGACGTTTTTCTGCTACCGTCAGCGTAGCTGACACCTCTCAACGCAGTATCAGCAAGTACCGATGCGTCATTCGTTCAGACGGTGGATCTGGAGTTTCGAATTACGCAGAATTAATAGTGAAAGGTAGGTTGCACTGAAGCAGCAGGTTTATGCAAGATGAGTATTTCCTCCCAGATGGCATCTACGTATAAAAATTGACATCCTGTTGGACCTTCTTCTTTCATTCATATTAAGTTTAAGTAGGAAAAAAGGGTAAAAGTGACATGAATTCCAATCATTTTCTTAAAACAAATATTTGAATCAAAACTTTGTCTGCACACAGCCCTCTTCATAAGCTTTTGTAGTAATGCATAGTAGCTATGGATATTTTTAATGTAGTCAGCTAAACAGTTTGTCTGTCAGTCAGCTTCATCTGCCTTCCTTTACTCTATTTCATCAGGCATCAATAATCTTGTGATGGAGCATTGCGTGTCAGAAGAGTCTGCTCAAGGCTGCTGGGAGTAAATGACGGGATTGATTCTGCTGATGTCCTGAAGTACACAGCAGAAACATCAGTAGTTCTTGAAGGATGCTAGGGTTTTAGCCCTGTTACTTACTGTGATTCAAGAGCTGATACTGTGCCTGACACATGCAAGATGTGTCTTAATCTTGCCTCCATGAGACATGCAGTAAAGTGCTATTTACTGTGCTGCCTTTTTTTTCTTTTTAACTTACCCTGAGCTGCTCCACAGGGATGCGCGCTGCCTCTCACGTGGAGAAATCAGAAGGTCGCTAAGTTGCTCCTGATACATTCTGCGTTTGGGGTGGGGGTGACATCAAATGGGAGGAGTATGGGTCTGCTTGCCGAGTATAATTTTATTTACCTAAATGTTTCACTTTTCTGTGAAAATGGAGGGCTGCTGTAGAAATGAGATCACTTTTGTCCACTGTAGTACTTTCTGCCAACTTACTCCGCCATTTGATGATCAGTATACCGATGCGTTTACAATGCCTTAAATACAGTGTTGCGTGGTGCAGATATTCAGGCTATACAGATCATGAAGAGAATGCTCCTATCAATTGCCAGGTGCTTTTAATTCCCACTCGGTGATCTTGCATCTTGTTCAGATCCAGAAGAATTAATTAATGATTAAAATGGAATTGAGTTGCCAGGAGTAGCACATCTAGCTAAAACAGAGGGAAGGCAATCTTCCAGAGCGACCAAATATCAGAATATGCAAAGTTGAGTAGGTGCCTGACACTTTCGTGTTCAACAATATAAGAAGGGAAGAAATAGAAGAATAAGTTATAAACATGAACGGTTGGATGTCCACCAGGAGAGACGATAGATTCATTGCTGGATTACTTGGGCAGACACCTAGCTAGAAGAAATTTTAGGAGAGTAATATTGTTATGGGGAGGTACACTCCTGTGCTCCTTGCTCCTGTTTAGTAAGCAGGTAAGGTTAAGTGGTTCATTTGAGGTTAGTTTGATGCAGCAGTGTGACACACTGGGATTGCATGGATGACTGCTCCCAAACAGTCTGACTAATTTTAGTGCGGATAATAGCAAATTTGTAATGCATGCACACAGGCTGAAATGAAAGCAAATTGGAATTGTTTAATTCTGAAGAGATGTTTATTGAATTGCAATAATGTACTTGGGTATACATTAAATTAGTCTGTAATTGAAGTTTTGCTCAATTAATAGTCCTGCCCCTAAACCCACTAAATCCAAGCTAAGACTCTCCTTCTCATGTGCTTTGTCTTGATCAGTGGAACATAAAATCATAGGGGATTTCTTCAACAAAGGTTAAGGTTTAAAAGTGTATCTGTGTATCTTTTTAATGTAAAGATCTATTTGCTTCCCTATGCATAAGATGTTTTATTGTAGCATTGAGAAATGAAAGAGTAATTTACATTTCTCAATATTGAATTATAATATTTGGTAGACACAGAAAGAGAGATTTTGCTTTGAAATACATGTACTTCTACACCCTCAGTTGGAACAATAGATACCTATTTCAGCAAAGGAAATTATCAATGAAATTAAACACGCACCACCTTCTCCTGCCCCCCCCCCAAGTCCTCCCCTTACTTGTCTAAGTGGACATCTTTACTAAGAAAGTGTATTATTATAAAGTTATTAGTGGAAATCTTATACAAAATATCATAACTTTATTTGTTTCAAATTATTACAGTACATTTAGTGGCAGCAGATACCTTTTTAGTACTGTGAAAATGCTTTTCAGTAGAGCTGTTTGCTGTCTATGCTAATACCTTTCTGTCTTCCGACTGTTGCAAGGCTTGTATAAATGACAATACATTTATTATTCTCTTTGCACTCTAGAATCATAATAGTCAAACCTTTCATTTCCATCTGTACACCTTACCATCCTTTGGTGCTCCAGTGGAAATAGCTCTCCTCTATTTCTTATCTCTCACTGTTGCACATATAGTAATTTAATACAATTTTGTACAGGGTGGTTTTCAAAAAACCCAGAGATTCTACGTCTTGTTATACTGATTGCATGCGAATGGAATGCTTCTTGTGTGTAATTTTCTTTTAAGTAAAAGCTGCGTGGCAGTTACTCATATTCTGAACTAAATGTAGGTTTTGCTTATGTAAAGATTGTTTAAAATACTGTGGAAATTGGCTGGCGTCTTATCATTTAAGGTATGTATTAATGATAGTGTCCTTCCAGGACACCTGTCACATTAGGTAAGGTTGGGAATAACTTTTTAAACTCTGTGTCTGTGTATGGATGTTTGTTTGCAATTGTTGTTTTTTTTCCTGATCCCTTTCAGATATTCTGGATGCCTAAATTAATTACTCAATACACGGTAGGAATCCATGGAAAGCTCATAAAGAGGGACTATTACAGCATCTATAACCTATTTTTCATGAGCCATTTTTTCTGAGATTTTCACTTTTCCAGGAAGTCCCTCAAAATCATTTTGTTTCTGCCTGATGCAAATTCTTTTAAGGCTCATGGCATTTTCTTAGGGTGTGTTCTGCTACTACAGGGTTAGGAGTACTCAACAAAGCCCCTCTACAGACCTCTGAGGGTATGTTCTAGTTCTCTTCAGTTTTGTCTTAGTTGATTTTCAAAGTGTTCAGTTAGTCAACATGGATGAAAAACAGTCTGTCTCTTAACGGAGTGGCTTTCTGTCATCCTTGTGATATTTGGGACAGCTCATCTTTTAGCAGTCACTCTTTTTTTGAGGTTTTTAGACGTGAGAAGCTGATGTCTTCAGTGACACCAGAGGGAGAGGTGGTTTCTTTTTCAGAGTTGCTTACTAGTTTTTCTCTGGGTCTCTTCTGGAATGATACTTGTCACTGTAATTGCACCGTCTGTTTATTAACTTACCAGGTACACAGTGGAAACTGCTCTGGTGACCTGAGTCTTTTCCTCATAAGTAGACACTGGAATTTAAAAAAAAAAAAAACCAAACACAAAACAAAACAAACACATACACAAACACCAAACAAAAAACCACAACAAAAAAACCCTGTCAAGTTATCAGAGTTGAGATACTCAAGTGTGAAAAGCATGCTAAATAATTAGACATTTAAATAAAGCTATATATGTAAGCTTCTCCGGTATTAAATATACTGTGCAAATTCCAGATTCACAATTACAAGGCAGGCTCATCAAGGAAAACCTCTACAGGTATTTTGACTATCTCAGTATTTATTATTGGAGCTGTGTCCAGAATAGTTTCAGCTAATTATGTTTAACAGCAGGAAGTCCTATTAGGAGAAAGAGCTTTCTGGAGCTTAAAAGTAGTAAGAAATAAAAACATCGCTGTTCTACAGCTGAGCCTGATCTTGGGCTGGAGCTGGCCCTAGAAATGTTGCTTCAGGCCCTCCATAGGTTTCCTTGAATAAAACAAGTGCAGTGTAGGTATGAAAGTATATAACATGGCGTTACACATGTACTCTAGAATAGAGCTTGTTCCTGGGATAAAAATATAACTGCCTTCAATGTAGTTGTTTAGGACGCTCACAAACTCCAGCGTCTTTCACTTCATATGAAGCAATTACTGGGAGGGGTGGTGGATATGAAAAAGATACTTCAAAGTTTCATGCCTGATGCATGGATAGTTCTACACCCCAAGGTATTCATGCCAAAAGTACTCATTAACATAATATCCTTGCCATCATGGGGTAATATAACTACTGTTTCTGTGGTGGTACTCAAGTCCCCATACTTCACTCAGGAGATTGGGTGTGTTGATATGAAAAGTAGGCACTGTACTGCAACTTTTGCCATCAGGGTGGCTAGAAGACGGAGTCCATTCCCTCCCTTGGAACCATTTAGGAGATAAGCTCAGCTGTGGTATCTATGCGTTTTAGATTTTACTGTTAAAAAAGTATTTTTTTTCTAGTATGCATTAGTAAGTTCAGATAGGAATTTTCCTGCCTTCCAGCCTAGTTATCAGACTCATCCAGATCTCAGAAATTGCAGGGTAGATTTGAAATCATCTGCCTGAATAATGCACATTAATCAAGGTCCTTGAAGTTATCACCTTGTGAACAGGAGAAAGTCTCTTGCTGGCGCTACCAACAGTATCAGTAAAGCTGTGATAATGAGGGTTATCAGGCTGCATGCCATCTCTTTCTCTATTTTTTCCAGTTTACACAAATAGATTCAGTCTGCAGAATTTACATGTACTGTACCATGAGAAGTTAGGTATGGATTTGATAAAACATATAATGATGTCGCTCTTTTGAACACTACACCTGCACAGAATGGGTTTTGTGTGTGTGTGCATGTGAACCATTTATGAAGGTTATGCTGGCTTTGAAATTACCGAACAAGGGAGAATTGGCTTTGTGATTGTAGGGTGTCTGAAAAAGCCACTTACATTCCTTTATTTCTTTGCAGTCACAGTGGTG